ATATATTCACCGCTATGTATAGTAAACACGAACGTTTTATCGAAGCCTTTTATGTCATTATGTTATATTAGGCTCGTTGTGCGATCGTTTAACGCTGTATTCCGTATTAAATCTCAAGCGTTTCGCCTTTCCTCGGCAAAGCCCTCCGGAGAGACGTTCACTCGTTTGTCAAACACGGTTGCGGGTGTAAAATTCGCAGGCAAACTTTTACATGCGATCCGCCGCGGCAAAGACTAATGAAAAACGAGAGGCAACTTATTAATTGGTCTTTTCCCTTCTCAAAAACTTTCGGTCCGGGGAATGCACGCACATACACTCACACTCACGTGTATTACAATATTTTGGACCGGCTACAAATTGCAATTTCCCATTATATCCCAATGAGCGTGCGCCCCCCAGAGAACATCTGCCGGGGCACGCGCGCCGGGACCCTTCTTTTTTTTCTGCTGGCCTAATGGCAACTACTTTTGACAGCGACCGCACGCTAACAAGCCTTTTCCTTTGTCGGCGGCCGCTCTCCCCACGCAGCACCTTTTTAAATAATAATAATAGCAATAATAATCGACGGAAATTTAATTATCCGAGCAGCCCCAATTTCAAAACCATTTCCGACGGTCTCTCCTCCGTCCGACGTCCCTTCTCGCACAAAGAACCTATCCGCAGATATACACTATACCGCCGCCCCTATTAACGCCGGTACCGTAGTGTTATAGGGTCAAAACATTATGACCAGACTACCCGGCTGTACAGGACTTGTGGCGTTCGGTATTTCATTTTCCATTTAGTACATATTATATTACTTACATGCGATAATATGGACCATATAATTGACCAGTTGATGCGAATGCCTATATTTTAACGAGAAGGTACTTTGCTTTTAAAAATTCACCCTATTACCGTCCACCGTCCAAATTGTATATTTTACATGTTATCGATTGCACGGTAGTTCAACAGTATTAATATTTAGCATTTGGTTCCTAATGTTTGGGTTTTCCACCCATTTTCTATTATTTTGCAATTTCATTTGGACAGATTATTTAACTGGAGAAATTATTTTGTCGCTGATTTCTTTAACTCGAAAATTATGAACTCAAAATATGTTATATTGCGCCAAGTTTTAGCAAAATAAGTTATTCCATTTTTGTGTATTCAGCAGTACTATATTTTATGTAAGTTTAAACGAGTTACAAAACTAAGTATTCGCGTCGCTGCGTTATGCGAGGTATTCAATTTCAGAGAAAACCTTGTATATATAAGAACTCTTTGAGAAACTAATTTTTTTTTGTAATACAATGAAATAACCGTTTAAGTTTATTATTTTAAACAGGTTTTATTTTTGTTGTTGTAATGATAATTGCTATAAGTTCTAATAGTAGTAATGATTTTTCGAGAAACACCAACGTTAAGCTGTCAAGTTGAAGTTTTCGGGCGTGACCAAAACGAATCAAATCCACTTAATTATTGTCACAACGGATGGGACGTCTACTCGATTTCGCCCTCGTCCACGCTAAGACATATTATATTATACATAAAAATCACTGTTCAACGTTTGACAGACGATAAGTTAAGCGATTGTTTTCTCACAGCCGTTCCGAGGCGAAGGGATTCACACACACACACGTCGCCTAACTTCAGCACATTAAGTCTGTAGGTCCAAGATTTATATATTAAGCCTACTCGACGGCATAAGTTAACCGCGGCGGTAGATTGACAGTGGATATTTGTTATTTCCAAATTTATTAGGGTTTTTTTACACTTTGTCCGGACAGCTGTTGATCGTATCGCGCAGGATGCTGTGTGTGTGTGATTTTTTTTTTTATTAATTTACTGTTTTCTTTCGAGAGTAGGGCTCCTGGGGGATGACGGAGAGCGCATTGGGTAAGACGTTGCGGGTGCCCAAGAGACAAAAACCCAATAGTTTTAATCGACCGTGATACAGTATTATACCTATGTACATAATTCTCGTGCTCGATAAAATATATATGTGAAACTATTTCGTAGTACAACACAATAATAATTAGACGTAACTGGAAATCGACCGAGTGGAAAATAAATGTATTCAAAAAACGAACCGAAAAATTCTAACCGATAAAATTTTATTAATGGATATTTTTCATTTTTTTCTTAAAGATTAAATCAAGTCTTAAACGTTTTCACATTAAAACGCCACGTGAAACAATAATTGAGCTCGCGAGTCTTGGAAGTATAATAAACTAAAAAACAAATATGTGTCTTTTTGTTATACGTTTTGAAACATAAAATGCTAAGTTCACGTCGTTGTCGTCTCGCTGCCTTTATATATATATATTGTAATAATATATATGATAATATTATGTCAGGTTTAATATGAAAATGCTAGTATATTATATGAACACAGAAGTCAACGGCACAGTATTGGAGCTGACGTTTTCTTTATGTTTTTCGATTTTTTTCTCATCGTGTGTCGAGAACAGACAAATCGATTGGTAATTCTTTTCCTTTAGTCGGTGGACTATACAGCTGTACAGAAAAACAATACTTACAGCTTACCGTTGCACTACTGTATCGTTCACTGTGGTCTTGAGACTAACAAATTGCCCTTTTTTTTCATGTATATTATATATTTATTTTGCGCTTTTGCTATTTGTTTTTTCCTGTATTTTTTTTACATGGACTTATCCTAAAAAAAAGGCTATCCAGAAACCCAAATACTACACTATATATGTACCTACCAAAGGGTGTGACCCGCCGCGCCGGTTGCCGTTTCTTGATATGTTCAAACAATAGCTGTTTAAATATTGTCACATGTTTTACGACAACTGCGCATTGGGTATACAATACACGTATAATTACCTGAACGCGGTAATTAGCTTCTTAGACGGACGAATGAATTATTTTACACGGTACAAGACTAGTGGCCCAGAGAAAATTATATTTTTATCACTATCTATATACATACATTCGTTAGGCCAGTACTCCACTGGAAACTTTTAAGAAAAACGAGGCTACTTAATATATATTTTTACATTATTTATGAGCCATCTAAATGAGCTGGACATTATGATATTTGTTTATTTAAGTATCTGTAGGGCGCTATAGGATGTCGGTTTTTATTTTTAATTATTCAACGTTCTACCCAGTCCAACAAAAATCATCATAGTTCTAAGTTTATTAAAAGTTATAATTATTATTGAGATTATGTGAAAACTTTAAAACTTATTTGCCAAACTTTGTAAAAAGTGACATTGACTCTGTTTGGCCCAAGCCACAGTACTATAAAAATAATTTTCAAAAATCGTTAAAAATATCATATTCTGGTAGAATTTTATAGGTAAACACGACAGTAAAAATTGTATTTTTATGGATCGCAGTAAAACATAAAAAATATTCAAAATTGAAGCCGGCGAGAGTTACTTAGGCAAAATTATTTTTTTAGTGTAATTGTACGCCATTCAGAGTATTTTCGCGTTCCCTGAATTTATGATAGTATGTATTCACTGCTCAATGACTATCGGTTACCGTTTTATAATCTTCCTATCCTGGATTACATTTTTTCTGGAAATATCCCCAGGCAAAAGTATAATACTCGTACAGTATTTTGAACGAAGCGTTTTAGGGGTTTATTTGTATGTAGCCGTTTGAAATAATGCTCGGACGGGATAACAGCGTCTTAACGGTAGACTCGCAGGATGAAGATGTGTTCTACAAGAGTGTACGGCAACCGGAATAAGGGAAAAAAATTATCGAAAGCGTATGAACGATTATTATGGTATTTTACATATTGTATTACATTGTTATATATGTATAGATGTACACACATAATAGTATATACTGTTGGACGGTTCTCGTCAAACCGAGGTATAACCGTTCGAGTGGAACGCCAGCAAACAAGTTAAGCGGCTTTGTCGATGAGGGGCGCTTTTTATCCGAAAGAGATTACCATCAGAATATTATGAGGTGGTCTCCTAGTGGCCGTGTGCTTCTGTGTATGGGTAGGTACAAAGAAATAAAATAAAAAAACACAAATCGACCATTTGCCGCCGCCGCCGCTGCTGGTGTTCGCTGCAGAGACAAAGACGTTGTACCGATAGGATTTCGATGGGCAAAGGAATTATTGACCGATTTTTTTTTTGAAAACCGACAAGATCAAAACTCAAATACACTATACCTAAACTGTAACGTTAAATGTGTTACACAGCCGATGGTTATCATGGGATGATATCGATAATGGTATATACCTGCTTGGGGGTACGTTTGTGCATCAATATTGTGGCATGAGGCGTGTAAAAATTAATTAAAAAATATGTTTACAACTGCTGTTATATAAGCAGCAGCATAGCCGCCGCCGCCGCCGTGGGTAGGTCGTTTCGGATGTAATAATAATAATACATAATGACGTGTGCGACTGTAATGTGCTTATTGTTTTGTCGGTGGTTTATGCGAAACGTATATTATATGATTTACGGGCAATATAAAAACGAATATATGGACCGTGGATATTCGGGTCACGACGTTAAAGCGCCTCTTAAAGACAATAAAAAAACCACACAACAACAGCACGGAATATTAACAACCGTCAAACGACAGTGTGTGTGGCGTTATTAAAACGCTAAAAAAAAAAAAAGTAAATATTTTTGGTTATGGTTGATGGTTAACGAGCAAAAGCCGGTAATGTCGATTAATATACACCACAATGTATCTACAATGGACATGTATGGTGTAACCGCAAACGTAAAAGACCTCCCTGAATGAAAGCAAACCAAATAAAATATATATCATTGTGATAATAATCAACGACCAGAGCATTCATACGGAGTGCCGTTGGCGCAACTAGAAGGGGGAGGGGGCAACTAAGAAAGTTTAGACCTTCTAAACCTTCTGAAATCTTACATTGGGGCCTGTGCCTGATGAACTTCCCTAGCCCTCCCCCCACCCCCTCTAGTCGTGCCTATATTCATTACAATATTGTGCTGTCGTCTATATATGTAAATCAAACTAATATTTTATTTATTTGTCGACAGGGATTTGCAAGGAAACAACATCACAGTGATATCGTCGACCGACTTGACCAACTTGACCAACTTACGAGTGTTGTGAGTATAATATCGTTTTGTATCTTATGTATTTAAACTTTTTTTTTATATAAATATGCATAATATAATAATATGGTAGTAAATACGTTTAGGAGTGTACATGTGTATATCACTAAAGGCAACATGATTTATGCTTTTCCGTCCATTTTTTTTTTTTGTGTATGTGTAGGTACAGTTTGTTGGCTTAGTCTGGCGACCTGTGAAAATTTAATAGAGCCCGCACCGACGGTGTACGTGGTACACTGAATAAATATAGAGCGGCTTTCAGACTTGTCCAATAACCGCTGTACACGGTCTTTAGGTTTTCGGTAAACGTACTTCGACATAAAAAGCCAATGCAAACACAGTAAAAACACAACGATAAACGATAATGTAGAAATGTAATTTATTTTGCTCTTTCTTTTTGTCCAGCTGACTTAATACTAAACGAATTTTCGGTATACATATATATATATATATATGTAGCTACTTTTTAATATTATTTTTCGATATTTCAACGGGACGGAATTGTAAACGAAAAGGGACGCGAAGGACAGATTGAAAAAAAATTAAATATATATATTATATTCTTTTTTCTTGTGTTAATAAGAACAAAAAAGTTATTTTTTCCACGCCAGTGAACTTCTTCGCCTACAGACTTTTTATTATTTATTCCAAGTACAAACATACACAGCATAATAATACAAGTGCACCCCGTAGCCACTTGTAAACACAGTATCTTCGGGTTTCTTTCGTTTCTCTTAGAGAAATTACATTTTTATTGCTTTTTCCATTCCGCATAAAATCAGCATATTCAATTATTTTACGGCTTCTATGTTGTTGTCAATATTTATTTAAATAGTCTGGCGTGCAATAATAGTATTTTCTTTCTTATTTTTTTTTATTTCGCTGTTTTATGTTATTGTTTTTTAAATGGCTGCAACAAATGGCGAACGCCGCATTCGTTTCTCATCCAAGTCGTTAAATATATTACATCAATTTAACTGACCAAATAAATATTATAACCTACGCCTTACTGTATAATATCAACTATTAATCCGAATGTTTTACACGGTCGTACCACACAGGTCCTTGTGTAATATTATGATTTAAGTGTTGTGTACCTACACCTATAATAGTTTTAAAAAAAAACCGAAATACCTACACATTTTATGATATTTCAAAAAGAGCACCGATTACAGAGCTAATGTTTAACCTTAATTACTTAAGCTTTATAAAAGGAATAATCTTTTGAATTGTACATTGATATATTATCAACTCGCAAGGTTTTGAGTTTTAATTACCCTATCAGGCTATAATGTGATTGATACTTTTCGATATCGTTGTCTACCTATCAGAATTTGTTTTATATTAGTTGAAAAAAAAAATGATAATAATAGACTAATTAATTTCAATGGAAAATACAAACGCCCAGAAGTGTATAGAAAAATACAAAAGCATAGAAATGTGAACCAAATGCTATACCATTGTATTTTATGTAATTTTTAAACTCACATGCGTCGCCTGAACATTTTGAAAAAAATTCCCTATCAACAAATGCCTTGAAAATTCAATAAGCAGCTATTTTCGACAAAGATCAATGTCCGCAAAAGCAAGGGAAACTAGCGCTGGCCACGTGGAAATTTTTTTTTTTTGTTGATTAGAATTTCATTAAGTCGGAAAAGTATGTTTTCAAACTCGAAGCGGACGCGAAAAAAATTAATTATTTTTATAAAGTATCGTTTTTTTATCATTTTTTTTTTTTTTTTTAATGATAACGCAGTCAAACGACAAGCCGAGAATTATTCTTCCGGTCCGAAGGATTCGCTACTAATTAAATTTGTTGTCTACACTGTTTATTTTACACTTAAAAAACGCAATCAAATCGTTTGTTGGCATTTCCAGTTCTTCCCCTTAAGCGACCCACGCGCGCCCTCCGAACTAGCGTTGTTTTTGCGGCCAAACTTTTTTAATTGGAAAAATGTTTCGTTTAATTTGGTTTTTTTTTTTTATCTTTTCAGGCAATTGTCGGACAATCAAATCCATACCATCGAAAAGGGAGCCTTCAAGCACCTCGGCCGATTGGAACGATTGTAAGTATAATAATATATTGTACTTGTATTTTGTAATGTGTTGCGTGTGAATCAAACCTATATAATATATTATATATTTATACCAACATGGGTAAATAAAATCAATATTTAGACTTATGTACATATTATTTATGCTGTCGATGCAAACGAAGGAAAATTTTGACGGGACCCGTTTAGTTTGTTCAACTATTTAATACTTAAAAGTCTTACCGAAATTAAAATGTCAAACACCACTGCTCGGAGTGCAGACAGCGCTGGTTCGTGTACATGTACATATAATAATATTATAACGACTGACACACGAATTACAAGCGTGCGGTAGACGTCTCGACGGTTTTGACAAATGAAACACAAGACGAAAAACAAACAAACAAACGCTTCACAGGAGTTATACAGAACAGCTATCCGCGGTGCTACGTTGTAGGGCACCATAGAAAAAAATCATTTCTAGGCACGTTAAATATTTGTGTTTCTGGCAACAGATCAGTGGTAAAAAAAAAATTAAAAAAACATTTACTCGGTCCCGTAGCTAAATTGTTATGTACATTGTTCTAAATCTAGCTTGTCAATCGATAATCCCGAAAAACGTTCACAGATTTTTGTTATTTACATAATAATATACAACACTACTTGGGGAGACAACACATTCTATCAGCAGTATATTGTTTTATGGGTTGCAATGTCCATGCTTTGGAACAAGTCTTGCAGGAATGACTCCGCAAGGTGGTCGGTAAGGTTATTTCCAGGATCTCGAAAATCATAATAATCTATAAATTTGTAATCTGATCATTTTTTTAAGTATGAAATATGTTCAAAAGTCACTTTTCTGAAACTTGCTTATGGACTTCTTAAGCCGGGTTTACAAGATTCACAGTGGATGATTTTGATATGTTGTACCCGGTTCTTTTTTTATGAACTCTTCCAAAACGTTCAGAGTGTAGCCCGGCTTGTGTATATACCCATTGTGCTTGCCTTTCGTCCCCTTTGGAGAATATACTCTGAATAACGACGACACCGCTTTCTCCAAGTTCTATTGTGACGGTATTCGTTTGTGCGAGCATTGAGACGACGCCGGGGGTTTTAAAAGCTATGTAAGATATTTAAACTACCGAACAATAATAATATTAATATATATATATATAGTATATACAGGGTGATCCACCCATTTTCTCGGAAAATATTAATATTCTGTAAATTGTTTTTTCCCTACACTTGTAGGTACATTTTTTACTATATTTTTCAACACTTAGAAAATTGTTATCTTCATCAGTCAATATTATTATTTAACGGGAACAAACCGAGTTGATAAGGTATCATGTTGAAAACGAGTGTCATACATCGGTCGGATCACCCTGTATATGTTCGTCATCGGACATATCTGTCGATTACTATTGTGCACAATTGCCGGTTCCCATTCACGGCGGGGATGACATTCCCGGGATTTCCCGGATATTAGCCCTTATACAATGTACATCATAATAATACAGTGACTGTGACGACGACGGCGGGGTAGCCGTCGTGGCCACGGAAAGCCTCTAGCTTACCGCATACTAAACCCAGGCGTGGTGTCTGGCTAATTAACTTATAATGCCACACACGTATATACATACATAGTGCTGTATGATATGCATAATGCGTGTATTATAATTAGTATTATTATTATTATCGTCATTCCGAATACACCGGCGTACGTATTGTGTACATACACATATCAGTATTCCAAACGATATTCACGGAGAGAGATGTCGCATTGCACACAGAAGCATTAAATTAAACATAGCGCATTTTGTCACTGCGAAAATGGCATTAAAAAAAAAAAAAAAAACAATATTATTTCATTTCGAACGATAATAAATTATTATCATTATTTCACCGGCAGTTTCTAATTAGTTAATGCGCGCGCCCTTCCGGTCAGTAGTGTAATCCGCAAACGCCGGTGTCACGCAGATCGTTTCAACCGTGTAAACCATTCAAACCCAGCAAAAGCCACCAGTTTCGCCCTTTTATTCACTGCACTTGACTCTGCAAGACCCGGGTCATTTTTTTGGCGCACAGCGACCTTGTTTGATTATATCTGTCGTTGCCAAGCTTCCTTATTCACTCGCCACAATAACCGTCTTGTACACTATTATTATTATGTCGTTTTTTTCCGTGTTCACTACATGATATCTGTCCGTGTTCCTTGTGTTGTAATAAATTGCCTACATGCTTTCTTTTTTGTCTTCCCAACGGAATCGCTTAATATTGTCATCGCGACGAATACACGGCCGTTCAAAAAATATTTTACATAGCAATTATATATTAGTCGTGGTTTATATGAACTATATAAAAATGTCACGTTAACTCCCAAAGCGGTGTAACTGGATGAGTTTGGTGTTTGGAATTATTACATTGTTTTTCTCGTGTAGTTTTTCCAAAAATAGCGACAGGCCGATTAAGAACCTACGACGAGACTTGTGTAAAGATTTCTTGATATTTTCCGTTTAAATATAACATTGAATTCACTTCACACGTTTTCCATGGCTTAGTGCACACTTGTTATAAGTCCACATTTTTTTTACAAAATATACTTTTTGGTACCAACAAAAACTGAATGCGCTAATTTCTAATAAAATATGTTCTTTAAATCTCAAATTTATATTTGTTGTGATATAATGTAATTTGCTCTCCTGAACAATTTTGTGACCTATGTATAATAAGTGTGCATCGATATTATAATTTTCTGTTCGGACCAGTGTGTCAGACAAAAAAGTGACAAATAATAATAATTTATCATGACCGGCGCCTTGGCCGTTGTTAAATTGTTCGAAAAATAATTTATTTTGTATAACGTTATACAACAAACGGACAAACGTTTTTGAGTTTTAAAAGCGGCAACTTACATTTCTCCCCCCGCTTGTCAACCGAAATAAAACAACACATTTCCCGGCCTAGTCTCGGCGCGTTTTAATTTATGTGGAGAACACGCTGGTACAACGACGTTTGTACAGTAATTTTAATTTGATCACGCTTTAATTTCGTCTTGCTTCTGTAATTTCATACAAATATATATATTTATATATATATATATATATATATATATATATATATATATATACATTACTTTATTGTCGGGCAATTTTCGTCGGTCTGCGCTAATGGTGCCGGTCGGCCGTTAACGACCGATGTAAACGGGTATTTTTATTTCCTCCCCGTCGGGATGTTTCTAATAGAATGTAATTGATACCTACTCAGAGTAGGCTACTCTCCAGAACACCACACACACACTCACATATTGTCCCTGGAAGATTGTATTTTTCGCGCTAGTCGACCTGCATGCTCGCATAATAAAGCCGGGGCCCGGGGCTAATTTATGTATAGACCCGACGAGCATATTAATACCGCAGGTGAGATTGCCAAAGGTCACCCAAAGGCTGCGGATAATTGCGTTTTGAGCCTTTTCATCCCGTCGTCACCACACAGCTTTCATTAAAGTCCCGTCACGGCGGCCGTCCATTACCGAACGGTTCGTGGCCAGGACACTTTTACCGCCGCCGACGCCCCCCGGGCAAATTATTATTATTATTATTAATACACTCCGAAATTCCCGTTTAATGAAAAGGATATAGCCAACGAATCGACCCTGGGCCCCCTCACCGCCCACCACCAGCCTTCCCCTCTGTTCGCACCACAACAATAGGCGTAGAAAATATTTTACCGAAATAAAATAATAATAATATACTACCGGGCGCCACCGATGAAACCAAAACCCGTTAAGTATGACGTTATACATTATTAATGGAGCCGGCAGTTGATAGCCGGATTCGCCGACCATGCATGACCGGGCGCGTTGCCTAAGTTTTTAGGGCCATCGGGTTTTGTTGTGCTGTTTTTTTCGTTTAGTCCCTTAACCAAGATAAATAATAAAATATCTCATTCGGGATTAAGAAAAACCGAATAAATACTATTCGACCCCACTACTACTGTCGGACAGCCGAATCCTCAATCAGCAATCTATTGTCTCTCATTTTTCCTATTACCAACCTACCGCTTGTATACATTGTTCTCTATTTGGCTACTTACATTTTTCCCTTCTCTCGTCGAACACACAATGTCACAATTGTGTAGTTTACTTTACTGTACAAATAGTAGTTTCGACTGAAAATTCAGCTTTAAGTAGCAAGTCGACTGAAATTTAGTTGACTTAGAAAATGTTCGGTTGGCACTTCCGCCAATTCAGCCAATTTGTATATAAATGTAACAGTATATTTTTTATCTTTGCAGTCTATACTTGATTATTCATGTGTTTTATTTTTAATACATATTCATAAATAAGTGGTTCGATTCATTTCTTATACTGACTTGTTCTTTTTTATACATTTTTTGAAGATAACACATTTTTAATATCTAGTTACAGAGTCGAATTTTTGGTAGATAATTATTAAGGTAATCCTAAAGTGCCTAAAGAATTGTTTGATGACTTTTTTACAATCTTACCATATGAATATGCATGCATGGTAATAGGAAGGCAAACATGATTTGCCTGAAAACGGAAAATCCTAAAAACATTCCTTTGTTTAGGTATTAAACAATTAGTAATATGTTTTTGTTTACTTTATTCTATGTGGATGTGACTTCATAGTTATTAAACTAAATGTATTTTTTTTACTTGACTTCAATATTTCTCATTACACATCAATATTCACAAAAAAATGTATATTTTTTTTTTATCGCCGTTCATACCCTTCTATAGTTATGTACATTTTTTTAAATTAACGTTCAGTAATCTGTAAACTCCCGGGTTGGCTTGCCAGTAAGCCGAACTACACTGAACGTTTTAAACGAAAAAAAAAAAACTTTAAATTAAAACAAATGAACGCAGTTTTCTTCAAAAAATAATCATAACACGCACTATTAGTTTAAATTACAAAAAATATTCGACACAATAAATTACACTAAGCCGCTTATAATCTAATTAAACGTTCATCCATATACATTTTAGTGTAAAACCGTCGACATAT